TGTCCCCCCCACACCGCATGTCCAGATAAGGTTTGTATTTGTGTTACGAGTACTCTCAGTTGCTTCTAAGTAACAACATCTAAGCAACACGCCTTAGAGTGTACTGACGAATCGTTGTAGGTACGCGAGTAATATTATGGCCTTATGACAAATCACTAAGGCACAAAATGGTGTGCAACCTAGCAAATGTTAAATGTGGCATCCAGTCAGACTGGATGCCAGGTAGTTAATAATACTGGTTACAGCTTCAGCCGAATAATCTTAGGCCCTGTCATTCGATTTGCGATCATAGATATCACTGATTGCGTGACACCACACACAGCTTATTGGGATATACTGACGAACAAACTACATTGGTTCCAAAATAATAACTTGGTAGTGGCATCATATTTGACTAAACATCTTGTGCATTTTATATCAGAACTGCTTATATGCTAAACTACTTGACACCTTCGGACAACGCCAGAGCCCATTTCAGGCCTCATTAACGCAACCTCCTAAACTCGACATGAATATAGCCAACAATCTAAGATTTTATTAGTGAGAGAAGCTTCAATTTTTCAACCACTCTAACCTAAACTTGTTTAGCCGGGTCGGCTGTCCTGGCATTAGAAATGCTACATGCGTCTTCTGTTGACGTAGTCAGACCAGAAGATTGCGCTTGCGTGTGTTCAACCACGGCATCATTCTTTCACGTCCAAACCTATCAGGCGATAGCACCTCAATTTATAGTCCCCTGTGTGTCAGGTTACACAAGGCCACCACATCATTCTCTGTGTCAGGTGGAAGCTGATTAATTAGGCGTTCAGAAGAGAGAGTACAACATTTGCTGTCTGATTGTTAATATCGTCTCAAATTGCAGAGCTCGCAAGGAATAGATGACTTGCATTTTGCGAAAGTGAACGGGGTGTTTGACAATTGTGTCGTGTGCAAAGTGCAACATCGGTGACCGCTTAGTTCAGATGTGCGCTGATCACGGCCTCTTTCTGTAGTATATTGATTTTCAGCGATCGTGGTAACAGCGTGCCATCTTGATACCCCCACGTCGTCAACCCAAATTTACCACATCGTCATCGGTTATCGCTGGTGCTGCTGAATATAACATTGTGAATCAATCTGCAGTACCTATCTCATCTTAGCTCGCAAACTGATGTGTGCCAGGATCGCTGTACATTTTGGTGGCTCTCAGCAGCGTGGTTAGTAATTGCCTCACCTGAATAAACTTCGTGACCCGAAAGCAGTTCGCGCATTTCAGGAAGCGTCGACTTCAATTTTGAAGACCGTTTCATGCACAGACCTCGAAACGCAATGGTCATACGCTCGCATCGATACATTAAACTCCCCTACCATTTTCTTTGTCTTTACCAGTAGTAATGCAAACCACCGGGTGTATAATTCTCTTCAAATTTTGACCTTTCATCGATCAAATTCTGCTGGACATGAATCTTATTCACTGCGCAAGACTACCAACACTGAGTCAAAAACCTTCTCCGGTATGATCCCGAGGTTTGGTGAATGCAGCGGGTCATTCAAATGGGGCAAGCGGTCACCTTGTGAAATTCTTTAAGCTCTTCTTCTCAGCCGATGCACTGGCTACGGAAAACCGATTGTAAGGGAATGAGTTACGCGTAGCCAATTGCATGCCCATCTACTGTCATAAATACGGGTTTGAACGTTCGATCGAGCATTTGAAACAGCATTTTATTTGGCCACGAGCACCGACGATATCCCACTATTGAATCCGGAGTGTTTCCTGGTGCGTAGATTATTCAGCACAATCTGGAGGAGATTGCCAATGAGGTGTGTTTATCCAAGCTCTAAAAATACCCTGGCACTCTGGGTATTTTCAATATGGCTGCCCATCAATCCTTCGGGGGTTGACTTCCCTACGCCAAGTGATTTGGGTCATCGAATTCACCTTATCTGATTGCATCTTAGCGGATTTAATATTCATCTTCAAATAAGTGCTAGAATTGACTGTGAAAATCAAAGAGGGATTAGTCGCATCTGTGTTGCCTCTATGGTGCTCGCCACTCTGCTTTTAAGGGAGCTCAGCCTGATATGCGAACAGAGCACACGGGAAGAGGAAGCAATGTTGCGCTGAAGTCGGGGTTGTATTGTTCACAACTTTAGGCTCCACTGGCTACTCGAATGTCATCAATTGTTTGGCCAGACAACGATCAGTGTCTTCGTAGACGTAACAGGCGCAGTATATTCAGTTGACAGAGCTGCTATTAAGTGCAACCAATTTCGCCAACTGCGTCTCGAATAGCATTATACCAACTACTTAGTCCTATGCTGTAGTGATCCAGCTACTATCTCATCAACGGCTGACCGAAGTGGATTGAATGAGTTTCAGCAGTGGTCGTCCCCGAAATGTTTACTCTCAATGTTTCTTAACGCCGCGATGTCACTTTCTGTCGCGTGCGCACTGACGAACGTCTGTTTGTGGCATACATTCTTGCCACAACCTGACAATTTCATCCACTGTTGAGTTTCTTTGTGAATATTTTCCTCATAATCCATCACCGTCAAGATACTTTGACGAAGAGTGGCGCAAGGTGCGTATATTAACATTGTCCGCTGTTCTCTAATTTATAAACTGACTGTATTCTTCCTCGCTGGCTATATTGCTCACCCATAATTTTCCCAGGTCTACGAAAAAGACGTTAAAATAGCAAGAATTATGCACCTTTTTAACAGGATATACTTAATTCAGTAATTTCGTGTGTTCTCTTCTGCTGTTTAGAAACAATTTGTGAACAGAGTAGTCTACTTGGCAAATGCGATCAAGTTGCAAGGTTTTCGGCGAAAATGTAAAGCTGTTGAAATCGGTGAGTTAACGTAACTCGGTCACAGGAAAACGACACTAGCCTCACCAGGGTAGGACGAGGCTGGTCATGAAGTTCATTTGTTTGCACAAACTTTGTTTCAACCGGCGAATGACCGAGGCCTCAGCGAACTGGAGTAGATGGGGACAGCTCTGCTTGTTGATTACCTTAACCCCATCACCTGGGTTTCGCATACAGGACAATCAAATAGTTGACGTGCCTTAGAGCTAGTGGGTGATTTCAGGCTATTTGCGACCATGTACCGGGGGACGTGCTCTGCAATCATCGCTGACAGTATTCTCTCAATTCTGCCGACGTACTTGCTAGCGCGAATATAGGTAAAATGTTAAACACATGAGGCGGTAACTTGAGAGTCCTGTCTCTCCAGGTTTGATATGCACGGCAGCCTTATGACATGGTGCAATCTCACTAGCTCAGCCTCGTAGTAGCGCTTGTTGATAGATTGTCGAAGACGTTACCGACATCTTCTGTCTACTTGCTCCCCTTTTAAACGGAAGCGTAATAAAAACCATTTCCCTTGGAACATCTGTTGATGGTTTATCTTTCGGTTGTAAGCTCGCATACGGTGATATATATCGCTTAGTATATCCGCTCTTTTGTGGCGTGTTCAAGTACACATTCTATAGTCGCTGGAGAAGAAATTTCTGGACCCTGGAAAAGCCCGTACAGACTAGAGCTTGCTTGTAGTTCATGAGGCAGAAGGTATTAATGTTCAGGTCTATCTTGGTTTGTTGTACACATACCATCTAGCTTTCTGTGCAATTTAACATCCAGGGAATGAAAGGATCCATCAGAATTATTTTCTGTCTTGAATTTGATCGTGAGATGACACTCATTCATCATTTCCAGTATGTGTGCCGCCTGGTGACGAGTGTCAACAACTACAAAATTTTCGTCCAAATTTCGGCCATAAATGTGTAAGTTTTATATAGTGGAATGTAGTACGATGTTTTCCAATTGCCCCATAAAGATTTCAGCCAAAAGTTGAAATAATGTACCGCACATGGCCATGCTGTCGATTGGCCAAAATAGGGTTCCATTGAACCGGAAGTGAATATTTTTCATGCAGAAAGGCAGTAGTGACTTTAATTGATGCACTGGGATCTCGACTGTATCAGCTAGTTTGGCTATTAGCAAACAGACATTTGTGAATAACGAGCATGCATCAAAGAAGAACATGTTTCTCTTTTACGTTTAAATTACATGTCATTTTGACAAATGCAGGTGTATATCTTATGCTGCCACGTGACAGTCCCTTCCGGATGTGCTCAGTGAGTTTCGCTAACCAACGGGCTAGTTTTCGGTATGGTGCGTCAACCATTGAGACGATTGGACTTAAGGGGATTCTCTGTTCACCCACCTCACTAACAGCTCAGTTGAATCAGTTGATGACTCTTAGGAGTAAAGTAAATTATTTGGATGCGGCTGATGTGCGACACTGGCGTGTCCTAATAAAACGGAGTGGCTGTCTGGCGTGTTCCTGAATGTTTGCGGGATTTTTGCCGAGTATATCGAGGACCCATCCACTCGAGAATAACTGATGAGATTGTCTCCTCTTGGACGAACCCAAGCTTCGGTCGCGTGAATGCGTGGATGCTTGGATGCATAAGAGCCATCGTTGATGCACAGTTAGCAAAAACTAAGTCACCTCATGTTGAATGCAAATGTGCATTTTGAGGCATGACTACCAAGCAGTTGCTCCTTCTACTCGAGACAAGTAAGGCAAGGGACTGCAGATGTAAGCGCGAAAGTGTTTGGGATGACAACAGAAAAAGTGCAAGGCCATCACGTTTTGCGTACAAATATGCACTGAGCAATCGCTAGGTAGAAGCAAGCTCGCATCATGGTGAAGCGTGTGCAAACCATTTCTTATGATGTAAGAGTAACATCAATGCAACGGAAGGACTAGACCAACTGCTAAACAGGAGAGAAATATTTCATTCACTGAGGATGCATGGTGGGTAGAGCAAAGTTTACGGTAATACCGCGAAGTGAGGAAAACCATAACAAAACACTGGGCAAGTCAAACTAGCCAAGATTCGGTAGTTGAACCAGTGAACTGTTATTTCTTTCAAAAAGTTAAGTGAACCCAGTGGATGTTTCTTCCGAGTGAACACATCTGAGCCCACCGGCCTATCCCTTAAACTG